ATAACTATGAATGTCCATTTTGTATCTGTGTATTCAAAGTGGTTGGGATAGATATATAGTTGCATTCTCTTAATGAATAGAATGATTTTTTTCTAATGGTGTTTGTAGTTAGGATCACAAGTCTGCATCTTGTACAGCAATTAACCACTAAGAAGAATATATGCAGTGTGCTATTTGTTGAAACTGTACTTTCGATTTGATTTGAAACTGTCTCATTGCTATATGTTTATCAATAAAACTTTGAAAAGAAAAAAAGAAAAAAAGAAGAATGCTGGAGAGAACACTGGAATGCAGCAAGGAAATGTAAAAAGCCTTACAGGGCATGGAAATTTGGCAATATATACAGAGAAACAAAGAACTCTGCAACTGTTACTGTGACTTCCTGTCCAAGGGTGACTCCATATTGCTAGATCAACAGAAAAGGCCTAAGGACCCAATCATCACAATGGACAAACAGTCCAAATAAGAAGACAATTCCACAGACCTCCTAGGCCTTGAACCCAAGTTCGGGGAGCTTCCTGGGGTCCACAGGACTGCTTTGCTCAAGAAAAGAAACTCACAATATGTCCACTAACCTTGAGCCCAATATTATAACTCAGTGTCACCTTGGAAATAGAGTCATTGCCAGACTCCATTCTGCTGCAGATGCCAGTACCACTGTACCTTTCTGTGATGGCTTATTTCTAGATTTTCTCCAAATCCTCATGCAGTCACAGGTGGATGGCTGGATCTAGAGTGTGTGACACCAGAATTGAGCCATAATGCAGTGCTAAGCTCAAGGGCACTAGGATTAGGGGTGTGAGTGTTACCTGCCTCTAAATATACTGGATAAGATATATTTAGAAAAAGCTATGGTGTTCCCCTTGTTGCCTTTCCTATCTGTTGCCCACCAGGAGCCAATTATCCTCTGCAATGCCTGTCTGCCATCCACCCTGCCTTAAAGCCAGCCAACTATGGACTGAAACTTCTACAAACTTTGAGCTAAATAAACCTTTTCTCCTTTTACTTTGGGCATTGAGTATTTTAGCAATGAAAAAAGTAACTAAGACAACATCCACTCGTGGAGACCCAATATCATTCCTCCGCACTCACACAAGAGACTGTAATGTCACAGCCTTTAGCCATGCACTAATAATCCTACACCTAAGTCCACACAATTCCCTGTACTTCAGGAAATAGCTGATCTAGCACAGCACATGGTACTACCCTCAGGTTGAGAAATTGTTATGATCACTCCTTGGGACCTGAGGCCAAACCGTCAAACCCCATATTTGGTGTCTAACAGGCTAGCACAGCTATCAGCCTTCCTCTGGGTACATTAGGATGTGTCTTGCCTCTGGGACTGCCCTGGCCAGTGGCCCTGGTACTAACAGTAGTTACCTCTGCTAGACATGAAGTCCCATTTGTCCACAAACATCATTTTCACCATTCTACCTGCTAATGTTACCATCTCCTATTACCTCAATGGTGATCTAGGGGGTACCTCTCTGCAGTGACCGCTCACATTGCAGCTGCTGCTGTCAGAAGCTATACTACTGCTGGTACTCCTTCAGATCTGATCATATGACACCCCTAGCATTATGGCTGCCACAGAAATCATCAGCAATTGTTTCTGCAAGTTCTTTTGTGATGTCCACTGAAAAATCATACCACAACCTCTATAAATAACTGCAGTCTAGAACAGAGGCAATTACAGATTCAGCTAGCATTGAGTACAGCTAAAGAAATCAGAGAGGGTGTAATTATTGTGGACTCACTTAGAACCAAAGCCAAAATATCTAGTGAACTGATGTGCT